CCGTTGGAGTAGTCATGGGCTTTTTCGCGCTTGGGCCCTCCCGAAGCTCACCACCGGCGAGTTTCATGCCGACGACATCAACAGGCTGCTTCGTAGCCAAAGCAGCCAGTGCCTTATTGGCAGTTGCTGGAGTTGTCATCCTCTTCTTAAGGCCTTTGGGTTTCTCAGCCCACATATTTGCAAGAAAGTAACAAATAATAAACGACTTATCCGCATGGGAAAAAGTGCAAGCAAACGATAACTTAACATTTTTCCAAGATCGTACGAAATCTTGCATCGTCCATACCGAAGCCGTATGCTCGCAGGTGGGGGAGCATAATGATCTCATTAATGTTATGTTGTCTGTTAGGAAGGTCACTGAAACGATGGAGCCTCTGCAAGCTCGCGACTGGAAGATAGTTCTATTTGACGTTAACTACAAAACAAAGCAACTCGGTTAGCTAGAACACAAAGCTCGAAAGTGATCATTGTTAGAGTTGGTGCGCTAGAGCCAATCAATTATTGTAAAATTGACTCTTTGTAATAATGTTTATTAATCAATAAAAGACAATTTTCTTCTATATCATGTAAATCATAATTGCATGTATTGATATATGTCCTTAGGATGGTATAACCATGACGAGGGTATCAAGTGTTTCAAATCTTGATAGTGAGAACCCTATGATCACATATGGTGCCCATTTTAGAAATGTCCGTAGCCCTAGTATTATTTTGACCAAGGACACAAATAATACGGTAAGGTTATCATAGTGTTGAACGACCCTGTCGAAAGACAATGACTGATCTCACTTGTCAAGGTTGTTTGCCGACAACCTGGTGTGACACATGAGTGCTTACTGTAGGCAAGTTCATTGGACAGACCCACCAAAGGCTTCCATATAGATGGTAACCCTAGTGTTTATGGAATAAATCCTCTAACGAATGGTGGTGCATGTGATCCTTAGACTTGAGATCACTAGAGCGTCTTGTGCACCGATTGGTGTAGATTGACACCAGCCTAACATAGTTCTATTCAAAGCTATCAATACAATAGTGATTGGCTACATTGAGAAGTGTATCAAGACTATGGTGGATCGACAAAAGGATTCATCACTCCCAGGTACAGGAGATCTCACAGCGCAATTCAATGAATGGCAATGACACTAAAGGTGTGACCACATGGGATTGAGTTGTTGCTCAATCCAATTTATTATTCCGGTCATTGGTCCAATAACAGAATACAAAGATATCGAAGATAACTGAGGTTGATACTATTTCTGTACCTCAGCCTTGATGAGATAACAGATGATGAAATGATCGGTTTGCATGGTAACCATATCATTGATAGGCAAGCTATTTCGCTGAATCTGAATCAATCGGATGACCATGATGCCTTGCTAGCGGCCAATCTTGGTCTGTGTTTAGTAAGACGATTGATTGGTGTCAATTACGAGACTACTCACTACCGATATGATGAGAAGCCTTCGAGTCACACACACAGAAGACATATTAAGGTTGAATTGATGAGAAATGGTATTTTCGTCATTTGTGATGAAGGGTATTTTCGTCATTTATGATGGAAAGGATATTTTCGTCTTTTGAGATGAAAGGGCATTTTGGTAATCTCACAGTGCAATTAAATTTGCTGAGGTCATTGCCTATATTTAATTTCATATTGAAATTAAAATTAGTGAGATTATGTATTTAAATATATTCATATATTTAAATATTATATAAATATTATTTAATATTAATATTAGTGAAGATAATATATATGAAATATGAAATTCATATTTGAATTTAAATATATATTCAATATTAATATTTGATGATATTAATAAAGATAATATATGAATATGAAAATCATATTTGAATTTGAATAAGGTGCCATGTGGATTATTACCTTGTTTGGTAATGAGGATTTACTATCTAATCATGGAATAAATTTATTCCTAACTAGATTAGGGTTTTAATTTTTGTTGCATATAAAAGACAACTTAAAATTAAAATAAAATGGGAGAATACATTAATTAAAATCTAAGCCACTCACCTCACTCTCTCTCACGTTTTTCACTTAGTGGAGAAGAGAATTTTTCTTGAAGAAAAATTATGCATCCTTTTTGCTTGTGTGTCTTGCTAACACTTGAGACCGTAAGTTGATCGCCATCATGTCTTCGTGTGGATACCGAGAGTTCACTCTTATCTTAGAGTGGGAACGATTCGTATCGATTGAAGGAGCCTCCAAACGCTGGTATGAAATCTGGAAATTTTATATTCAATATCATTTCATATGTAAATAACATAAATCGGGTATAAGGTTCCTGGGTTCAATGTTGTTGTTGGGGATTTTATTTTTGTTTTCTGCTGTGTAAACCCCATCAGTGACTAACACCTCACATGTATAGTAAGGCGAAATCTTACTCACTTCCGAGGCGAAGCGCCGGTCTCCCGGGCTTTATAGAAGAAAAATTATGAGTCCCAATGCGGGACTTTCTTCAGGACATTGACCAACCCGTTGAAACATACCTTCTTCACCTTGGAAAGGTAATACGTTTGGTCTTGCCCTTTTTTGAGCCTATACAGACAGACGAGCTCCTCGACAAATGCTTGCCCAACTCAGTGATCATGTACGCTATGTACAGAGCGGTAATAAGCTGGACGGGAACAATGTCGAATCGCTTCAGCATGTTGTCAATAAAAGGATGGCAGAGGGGGAGGGGGGAATGGATACCCTATGCCTCATGAGGGTCTCAGAGGTCACCACCCATCTAGGCAGGGGATCTTTCAAGAAATGTCCCCTGGGGCCATCAAATTAAGCTGCGGCGCATATACCTCTCTTATGCATTCTAAATCCTCAACGGTAATCGAGGATTGTGGCTCTCTTTGCAGCCTATGAACTGGAGACCGTGCGGGTTGAGCCAACTGTATCAAGGCATGGTCGGAAGAGCCCGCTACGTCAGGGTCTGAGCTTCATGCGACGATTTCCTCGGAAACCTTGGGAGTTGAATTCCCAAGGACTATCGAGCCCGCGGGCGAATCGAACATGTGGTCAATTATGTGACGGTCAGAAGAAGACATGGTTATAGCTCACTTCGGGGTACTTTAAACAGAAGCAAACATGTGTCAGAGCTCGAAAAATTCGGCAACCATTTCACACTTGCTTTCAGTTCAGGCACCCAAGATAGCTCGCACCACACAATGAATGCACGCGACCTACCCCAGGTTCCGGCGGCTACCTCCTTAAACCCAAGATTGCCGGAAACATACTTAAAAACCCTACTAAAGCCCTAGAACATCAAATGTGGCCACAGTAGTAGCCACCCTTTAACGCGAAAACTAGAAAAACGAGTAAAGAAAGGGAAAAGAACTTTATCAGAATGAAAAAAGTGCAGAAACTCGCTGGAAAGGGCACCGTGATGATGACGAAACAACAGCAAAGTGGACAAAGACATCAGATAACTTTTGTGGATTGAGTGAGCATTCTGACGATTTTGCCACCTTTTATAGTGGTTTGCATGGAAGACGAAAGGGCGGGGTTTAATCGTAGCTGTTGATCTATAATGAATCTTGACCCTTCATTCGTCGAGCAATCTCGACCCTTAGACGTGGCCACGCATCATCCATCTGCAAAGGGCGACGAACCGTCGAACTGTTACACTGACAACTGTTGTCGCACATCCCCTCGACTTCGTACGTGCACAGCTGTAGCTCCCACGCGCGACAAAACGTGACTAACAAAGGCTGCCACATTTAATACGACATGACCGCTTGGAAATTACGTATTTGCCCTAACTTTTCATGTTCTAAGTTTGGCAGGTATCGCGGGAAGTGAACAAGTCCAGACATGAGGTCGACCTCAAAAGCTCAATTGAACCTACATCCGGAGACCTGTTGGTGATGCTGAGCTTGGCATCAAATCAAGCAATAGTCTTCGAAGCTCAAAACGAGCATCGAACACTAGGGGGCAGATGTTGTGTGTGATTTTTTCACCAAGCTCGAGCTACCGCGAGGATGTAACTCGACCCAAGATCAGTCTGACTCCACCGGTTGTTCGATCTAGCATAAGCTCGTCAACACATAGCTCGACCCAGCATAAGCTAGTCGCGAACAACCCGAATGATCATTCAATCAATTCCCAGATAGCTTCAGATCCTAGATATGGCAGGAATGACTAGATCAACATCAATATCTATGCAATCACATTGCCTAATTGTGAGAATATTGGAATTGCGGTTTAGATCAATTGTAATCTCTTTACTGTTGCTCTTTCCCTTGTACAAACCTTGTATATAAACCCCCCTCAAATGATTAAAAAGGGGTTACATCTTTCACACAGAATTCTCATTGTAAACTCTCATAGCAAATAAAAAAAAAAAAAAAACAGTAGATATAGGCTCAAGAGTTTACCTCGTCAAACCACTTAAAAAATTCTTATTGTCATCTATTTTATTGCACTCAGTATTTGTTTATCGTTGATTACCCGTAATCACGCACACATCCATTCTGATCCCATCAATATCGATCAAAATTCTTTGGTTGGTATAGATTGTTGTATCAACATAATATAATCCTATTCGAAAACAAGAAATTGTATTCGGATTAACTCAGGCAGACATTAAGATAATTACATTTTCCAACTAAAGAGAATTTCTAAAACGAGTAGTCAAGCAGAGGAGGTAAATGTGATTTACCGCATTTTGAAATGGAAGACATGAAGACGACGACGTGGAAGGAAGAAGAAGATCCCTTAGTCAAAGCTGCCTCGTCACTTGTTCACTGAGTATTGGAAGTTCAAAATAATGTTTTGAGGTAAATATTCAAATCAAATCCTCTTCAAAAAATACCAAAGAAATCCTAAAAGAACTGGCTAACCAAGATAAATACATAATATACCCTTTTCCAAACTCGAGAGAAGTAAACTGAGGAGGTAAATGTAATTTAACCCATTTTGAAATGGAAGAGATGGAACGATGACGTGGATCGAAGCAGAAGATCCGAGTCAAAGCCTCATCACTCATCCAGTGAGCATTATACCAGTGGATAATCATAAACGATCACACCAACGCCACTTCTCTCTCATTGATTTCGATCTTCCCAAATGATTCGCTCCGCCATCTCCAAGAAGCACAGCCTCCTCTCCTCCATAACCAATTCCCCAATTTTATCATCATCTTCTTCCTTACTAAACCGAAACAATAGTCAACTCAACAATGCCTCCGATCACGTGACCAATCACTCATCATCCGCTTCGTATCACGTGAGTTCAGGCGGTTACATGCGTGGAGCCGTCTTTTGGGAACCGAATAAGCCTCTAACGATCGAAGAATTCCACCTGCCTCGCCCCAAAGCCGGTGAAATTCTCATCAAAACCAAAGGTAATTTCTCGTTTCTCATAAAAATTAACTACGAATTTGTGTTGAATTGACATTAATTGATGCGATTATTTGGTTTAATTTGTGAAGCTTGTGGAGTGTGCCATTCGGATCTTCATGTTATGAAAGGTGAAATTCCCTTCCCTTGTCCTTGTGTTTTGGGGCATGAAATAACTGGGGAAGTTGTTGAACATGGGCCCCTCACTGACTCCAAAACCACTCAAAGGTTTTCTACTTTTATTCTACAGCAATCGAATCGATTTTTATCTCGTTTTTGGTTTTTGAAAATGTTTAAATTTTAGGTTTTTGTCTTCAGGTTGCCAGTTGGATCTCGTGTTGTTGGATCGTTCATCATGCCTTGTGGCAACTGTGTCTACTGTTCTAAGGTGGTTATTGATTCATGAATTTGGACTGTTTGGATGGTGAGAAAATGAGAGAAAATCTTTACAGAAGAAGTCTGATAAGAAAATTAGAGAGAAAATCATTCTTAATTATTAATGATCGTAGTAATTCTTTTTGTGTGACTTTGCTGACTAGGCAGCTGACATGTCCTTCATAAATTTAGGCTCCTACTACTACTTTAAGGAATGCTGTAAATGATAACATCTTTGTCGAGGAATTATATGTAGCGAATGTGATTGTTGATGGCATTGGTTTCTTTCTTTTATGACAGGGCCATGATGATTTATGTGAAGATTTTTTTGCTTATAACCGGGCAAAAGGAACTCTTTATGATGGTGAAACTCGGCTTTTCCTAAAATATGGTGGTAAATATTCTTTGCTGTAACTTTCTGTTTGGTTCATATAATTTATATTTTGGTTCTGGTAAAACTTGCAAAACTCTTTGATGTTGTTAGTCTTGAGTACCACTATTTGTAGACATTTCTCCTATTGTCATGTTAATCTGTTGGAAAATTGAGGGTGTGGACCATCACCATTATAAGTGAATTCAACTGTTTATTAAAAGAAACTTGTTGAATTTCAAAGCTGCTATACATTTTTATTTAAAAGCTTGCATGTTATTGCTATGTAAATCATTTCATTATAACTATCCATGTTGAAACCTCTATTTCTAAAACACTTAATGGGCTCCCTGTATATCATTCTGTTTTGCAAGATTTGTTTTTTCTATCTGTCCCTTTGCTCTCTCCATGATATTAAAACCCATAGAAGAATGAAGTATAGTGTCAGAGTCGGCTTCAGCCTGTGACAATTTGAAGCAGTTTCTGCCTTAGAGCGCCACTAAGTAATTTGGCCTCAAATAACATATCATTATATATTTATTTTATTTAATTAAAGTAAATACTTATTTTAATTTCCCATTTAAGTTTAAAATTCAATCGATATATTTGGATGTTCATTTNAAAAAAAAAAAAAAACAAAAAAAAAAAAAGAAAGAGGAAGGTTGGTCAAAGACTCAAAGATTTGATTATCATCAGCAAATCAATTTAATAATAGAACAAACCCATTTGCCAATATTAGTAAAGACTAAAATAATAAAAAAGATATACTGAAAATGTGGGCTGGACAGAAGACTTTGTAGAATATTTTCTGTGACATCGAGGCAATGGATTGGGTCAACCAAAAATGTGATCTGAATTTTAGTTGGTCAGTAAAGGAATATATAAAGTTGTAGTAGTGATGTAGGAATAATTGAAATTTCAAGTTTTGATTGATTAGTTGACCGGTAATGGAATAATCAAAACCATTATTGAGTGACTTGATGGTAAAAGAGTAAAAAGATCTAATATAGGTTCCTGAGTTTGAGTCCCCATAAACGCTAATAGGGGCGGTTATTGAAAAAATTGACCCGGTCGTTAACTCCAGAGTCTTGAATGATTAGTTACAATGTGCACAAACTCGTCCAATACTTTCAATAAAAAAAAAAAAAAAAAAAAAAAATGACAAACAGAGTGGATCAATAAATCAACTTAATGATGATCACAGTGAGGCCCACGTTACCAAAATGCACTATTGAGGCCCAAATGCATTTCAATTTTATGGATTTTCCATTGTATTTCATATATATGTATAGAAGAATTAAATTTTCATTCCCTTTATTTATGCTATATACCCCACCATTGTTATTCCTTTTAGATAATTAAGTTGAAACTTTAGAAATAATTAAAGCTGAAAAAATTAATTATAAATAATCACCAAAACATAATATATTTAAACAAAACAAAAAAATATAGATTAAAATGGTTACTCATATTTTGAAAAAGAAAAACAATAAATTTATATGTGAAACAATTAGAAACTTACGATTTTTTATTACTTGTAACCTGATATATCTTTTTACATATCTTCTTCATTTATTAAATTATCTTTTTGTTCTAAGAGTAATTTTAATAGTATTAAAAAAAATTAGTGTTTATGGGATAATAGTGGGGTGTCAAAAGTATTTGTAAAGAATATGAAATTAATGTTAATTTTAATAATTTTATATAAGGATACATTTTCATTATAAAGTTTATTAAAAAGTGAGGTTTTTTTAGTTGCGTCCATAGATTCATTCTCAAATTAAATAAATATATTCTGAACTTAGAACGGTAGGATGTTTAAAAGTTAAAATAATAATAATTCAAAAAAAAAAAAAAAAAACATTCTAAGAGGTTTTTGATATGGATAGACTATTTTGATAATTTGGTACATAATAATATATATTTAAATAATAAAAACACTTTATATCAATAAGTTTGAAGCCCATGGAAAAATAAGGCCCAGATATACTCAAAGCTAAACCAAAAAGGCCCGAATGTATTTGAAATTTTATTGACTTGCAAGTAATAGTTACTGCGTTTGTTCTAGCATTTTAAATAGTATTTTTAAAAAAGTAAGAGTTGGGTGGTAATAATGAGGTAAAATTTAAAATTTAACAAAACATCCTTAGGTTTGTTAATTTACTAAACACCCCTGTAATAAAACATTAAAAATTACAAAAACACCCCCACCCACCCATTAAATATCGGCAGCTAGCCACCACCGTCGGAGGGTGGCTGGAGTTATCGTATCGGTGCACGATTTGTTGAATCTGACTAGTTGTGTACCGAGATGACATTTTCCATCTAGATCCACCATGGATCTAGCCGAAAAAAGCTAGATCTATGGTTAGATCTAGCAATAGACGGCTAGATCTGGCCGCGTTTGGTCGTCAATGATGGTCATATCTTGGCCGTTGTTGATGACTAGCTACGGCTAAAGATCTGGTCGTGATATGACCATCATTGACGATCAAACGCGGCCAGATCTAACCGTCAACGGCCAGATCTTTGGTTATAGATCTGGCTGGAAAATGTAATATCGGTATACTACCAACCAGATCCAGCTAGTAGTGCGTCATTATACCAGATTTTGGCCAACTTCCGAAGGCGGTGGTCGAAATCTGGCAAATGTGGGTGGGTGTGGGTGTTTTTGTCAATTTCTAAACTTTTTTGGGGGATGTTTAGTTAAATTAACAAACTTAGGGGGTTTAAAAATAATTGAATAAAATATAATAGTATTTTCATAATAGGAAAACAAATGCGTATTTTGAAAATTATAAGAATAGGATAGGGCAAAAATAGGGAAACAAATGCACCCAAATCATGTCTCATATATACATTTAGCCATTTATTTAAAAAAAAAAAAAAAAAATTACCGGGGTGTTTGGGCCAACTTGCTCGCTACTTGACTAATCCCTCCAGTCTATTGAACATTATACAAATGTTTTTTAATGATTGGGGTGTTCAGGTCAGCTTGCACATAAGACGCAACTCAACTAATCCTCAAGGGCCATTGGACATCCTATAAATGTTTTTTTAATGATCAGAGTGTCCGGACTAACTTGCGTACAACTCAACTAATCCTTGAAGCCTATTGAACATCCTACAAATGTGGAGTAAATGATCCATTTCCAACCAATGCAACCCAACAACATACCACAAATTCAAGCAAAATTTAGCCAACACAAGTATTAGAGTTCAAGACACTTACAATTTTCGAACCAAGACAAGTAATACACTTCAAGCCTAAAGGATTACTCCACCAACTTGAATTGATTCACCACCAAATCTCCTTGCCAAGACTTGGATAAAGAATGCACACTCAATAATACAAAAGTTCTCTCAAATAGATAAACCAATTTCATATATTTCATAAGCTAATTGTTACAATGAAATAGATGCTCTTATATAGGCAAAAACAAGGATAAATAAGTAACTGAAAAATACAATAAAATGAAATAAACTTAATTAATATTACAAGTCATTCATTCAAAAAGCAAGGCTATGTTTATTTAATGCAAAAGAGACACAATTCCCTAATTTTAGGATCTATGTCTTTAACGACCCCATTAGTTGAAATAAGCTTATTTCATTAGATCAAAATTTGATCAATGATCCTAATTAAGTCTACTAATAAGGGTGTAAGAATTTGGGCCTTGAGAATCATGCAAATGGATCCAATAAAGGTTCATGTGGATCTTCCCCTTTAGAATGTGACTTAGGCAGGATTGGACCTTTTCAACAGTTAGACTTCTTTCTTGGTGGGCTTGAGCTTCCCTTATTGGGCTTGGATTTAGAATGGTTTGGGTCGAAATGTTTGGACTCTCTCCCTCCTTGGAATTTGCTTGGACTGAATTTCCTCCATTGTTTTCCACATTCCACAATCCCAGTGTTTTAGGACTTAGAGTGAAATTTTTTAATTCAACCAAATTAGCAAGTGTTTTAGGACTTGTAATTTCTTATCCACTCATGTTTACAAGTATTTTAAGACTTGTAAACATATCAATAAACCACAAATATGATAAATGACTCTAAGATGATTGGAACTCAAGAAATAAAAAAGAGTAAACTTTATTAATGGTCAAGTCAACCGTCAGCCCCTTCTGATTTACATTTAACTTTTCCTTTTTCAATTTTACTCTAATTAAGAACAAAAAAAGCGAGTTGTGATTATGATTATATTTTTATCTAAGTGCATTTGACAATTCTTATTTGTCATTATCAGAAAATAAAATAAAAATGATCAGATGACATTACTCATTTATGATATTTGTCCAAATAAAAGAAAATATCAAGACCAAATATGACAAGTACTAATAATTTAACATGCTGAAAGGTTGTTGGTGTCACTAGAGTGCTTGAAATGATGTCATTAAATATTGCCACGAGGGTTCACCATTTAATTAACTTTTAGATCCACTACTCAAATCGAACAGAAGAATCCCACTTGTAATGGGTGTATTTTAGCATGAAGCAGATTGGTGAATCGAGCAGCTGATAAACTGTCCACGAATCAATTCAAACACAACTCAACGTGTCATTTAATTGGTTAGGTGACATATAATACAATGCGACAAAATTTAATTATTGGATTCAAAGAAGTGACAGTATCTCCACAGATTGTGACCTTATGCCTTATACAATTAACTAATTTTTAATTTCATTATTAATACATTAATCAAAATTATTCAACCCCAAATCTAAAATCTTAATTTCCAAAAGAGAGAACGTAGCTAAAGGCGTATTATCAACAACCTCCCCTGACGTTTCATAAATTCTCACCTGTCTTCCTTCAGGTATTAACTTTCCTCAGTTAACTCCCCTAGATACCGTTTTCTAACCGTATAAATGGTAAAAGTAAAAAATTCCTAAAGTGTCAGATTCTATTACTATCTAATTGTAGGACTCTTCCTTTAAAAACTAGTAAAATTTTCCTTAAATTTAACTGTTAATAGATTGCCACCAACTCAAACTCATCTCTACAAACCAACCCCCGGGTGTTTAGACAGCTAACAATAACTTTTGAGTATATTACTTAAGAGGTTTTGAATTTGATTTACCTCGATTGTTAGTAAGGGTGGATGGCTACTGGAGGATTATCCGGTCTTAATTTTAGGATCCTAAGATTAGTTTAGATGCGCGTCCAA